CTTTCTGGATCTGCTCAAAGCAACTACAGCACTGCAGAAATCACAGAGTAACAGGGGAAAATTAAACTGTTACTCATTATGTTACTGAAAAGTGCAATACAAAAATACAATAGCAATAGGAAAAGTAAAACCAATGCACTTTAACAAATGTACTCTTTTTTTTTCAGGACACCATCGTCCTGGCAAATATTGACTCTGTTCTGTCAGATCCTGAAAAATGGGAAACACCTGATCAGTTCAACCCAGGACACTTCCTTGATAAAGATGGGAACTTTGTGCACAGAGAAGCGTTCTTACCATTCTCAATAGGTAAATGCACTGAACAGGGACTGACTTATTCCATGTGATAGTAACCAAAGATCCAGTCGTTCCTCAGTGTGAACTGAGGAGGCATCTACAAAGAGGTATAGAAATACATTCCAATGTCTTGAAGAACTCCAGGAAGAGAAAAGCCCAATTGGAAGTGGAAAAGATTGGAAGAGAAGAAATGACGTACAGAGGCCTTTTTCTTGGAAAAGATCTGGCTTCTCTTCTAGCAGAGACCCAGTTATCACAACAGTATTAGAAAAATTCATAATGCTAATAAGCCCAGAGCTAGAAAGGTAGGTTTGATAGAAATCCTTTGCCTTTTCTCTCTTTTCCCAGGGCACCGTGTGTGCATGGGGGAACTGCTGGCAACGCTGGAGCTTTTCATCATCTTCTGCACCCTGATGCAGGCGTTCACCTTCACCCTGCCAGACGGAGTGAAAGAAGTCAACACCAAGTTTGTGTTTTCAACTACAATGAAGCCACCTCCACACCAGCTCTGTGCCATTCCTCGGTAGGAAACGGTGTCATACAGATTCAGGGAAGACTTAGCTCTGCGTGATTCTGCATGTGGATTCCACTTACTGTGTCTTAAGATTTTTGCCTTCCTCTGGATTTGGTCAATTATTACACTGAAAAATGCTTTTTTTTTTGCATCCTATAAAGTCAATACTTTGTTCTTGTTATCAACACTTGATATATTTGTCCCACTGTGTAGTGAATAAAGATACAGAAATAAGAATCAGAATTGGGCCTTATTTATTAGAACAGCATCTAGAGAGAAAGAACTTGAACAAGGTCTATAAATTAGAAGTATTGTGATCAAATATCTGTGTGTTCTTTCTCATAAACCACAGTTGCACTTGTGGTGATGGGTGTAGAGGTCTTTCAGTCTGTCCCCAGATACAGGTGAATGGAGGAGTTAGAAGATCTTGGGGGACACTTTCTGAAGAGGCAGATGATGTGTCTGAGATAGCAAGTACACTGCTGTAGTTGGAGGTGATGGAGTTCAAGAACCATGGAGATGTGGCACAAAGGGACATGGGTTAGTGGGCAGTATTGGTGATAGATGATCTTGGAGATCTTTTCCATGCTAATGATTCTATGATTTCATTAGACTGATCAGGTCTGCTGTTGTGCAACCAGGTGTTAAGAGAGTTGAGCATTTCACTTGCTAAAGCAGGAGTAATTTTGCCCAATGGGATAGAAATAGAGTAATGGGTTCATCAGCCAGGTGTGGAAACTTTTCATATCGCTGGCAAGGATCAGGGACAGGGGCAGACACTAAGTGTTGGCAAATTGTTTTGCTTTTATGAACACAGTGGTTGACAGCAACATGAGAACGTGTATTTTTCATGATCAGTAGTCATCTGGTGTTGTTCACTCCAGATCCTTCAATAATTTATTCAGCTTCATTTATTCTTTTCAGTTCTGTAATGGATTCTTTATTACAGTTAGCTGACTTGACATCTATCAGCATAAATTATCATATCACTGCCAAAAGAAGATTTGCCACTGCTTAAGATTTCTTGAAGCTCCTTCTGATCATAGTACTTAAGTACGTGGTAGATATGGATATTCAGATTTTTGCTCAGTTATTGACATTTAACAAGGGATTTTTTTAGAGAGTGGAAGTGTTTTTTCCAGTGAACATAGAAGGTGGTTACTGTATGCCAGCATATGAGGGGTGAGTTTTATACGCAGGATAGCAGATAGTGCCATTTGCAGTCCATGCAACTTTCCCCAGTTTCTCATTTATCCCCTTTTTTTTTGCTCTTTTTTTTTGTGCTTGAGTGTCAAGCTGTCTCTTGACTATTCTTCAACCTTGTCTCTTGATTTCAAGGGCAGGTAGAAAGAACAAGGTCACTCCCACTATTCTAGAAGGGCTACTACAAATGATTAAAAGCATACCCTTGAGCCCAGCCTCCAGATAAACTGTTAGGGGTCATGAGAGAATGGGACTCGATGAACCTGTGTGTTCCTTCCAACTTCAGATGTTCTGTGAATCTATGAGAATTAATGAGGTTTTCTTTTCAGATTCTCTTCAGTGTGCCTTGGATGTTTGAACCTTATGGATGTAAGTAGATTACAAAATATTCCTAGGTAAACTGGAAGGTAATCTGCAGTGCCACCTGATATGAAATGAAAACATATCTGCATGCTCTTACACTGCAGTAATCCATGGCTCTCTAAGGGAAAATATTTCAGTGTGAAATTCAGCTTTGAATATGCTTGCCTATGCAAGCTGTGTGTTGTGCCTGCAAAGGAAATCCTGTTTTTTTCTGTCTCCTAATGCAGCTGCCCACTAATTCAGGCCTTTTCCATCCAATGTGCTTTCTTACAGCCATGTTTTCAACCCCCTCGCACACACCTCCGTTAATATTCTTTCACACACACTGCCCTCCTTCTCCTGTAAGTTTTTCTTTGGATGCCTTCCAAGCCTGTGCTGTCTGGTATTCTCTCCTCACTGAAATCTTTCCCCTTATCTCTCTCCCATCTGTTGGATGGATATATTTGTCTTTGTATATTCCTCCTTTTGGTGTCTTCCACTTTCTGTTTGTCCCATATCCTCCTTCTGCTTTTACTGCTTTCCTACATTAAGGAGTTGTTTGTCTTACCATATTCTTATACAGTTCCTTAAATTACCTGCAGAGTAGCTGTGGTTATGTTCCCTAACAACACAGCTTTGTCTGCATTAAGCCAAAGAGTAGATAATGGCAGCATGAATTGCAGCTCCTCGCTCCCACAAGCAGAAGTGACAGAAGAATAATAACAATGTTGGAGAAAGCAGCTTGGGGCTTTGTCTTGGAGCAGCAAAACAATACCACTTTGAAAAAGGTGTGGTTGTCTAAAAGCCTAAAGGAAAAAAAAAAAAACAAATAACAAACTGATAATGTGGATATCAGCATGGGTAAATGCCAGCTTTTCCTTTCTCTCTCCCTATGCTTGCCGAAGCCTTGGCAGGAAAGAGGTGATGGATGTGGGGCTCCTTTTGTGACCCATAGAGTTTATGTCCGAACATTCCCAAATTCTTTCTTGTGAAAATACATTTAGTTTTGGAGAATGTAATCAGCATCAGAGCATCACCATTCTTGCACACAAAGCAGAAATTACACAACCCTTGTTTATTCCTTCCTGAATTCCTACCCACATTCCCAGGATCTTCCATGTCCCTGGTGTTGGATCAAGGCCCTACAGCTATTGCTTCATCACTGAGAGCATTGAGATCGGTGGTGTCAGGAGGGTTTTGGCTGCAATGCCTGGATTCCTCTGAAAGGCTTCTAAAAGTTGGACTGGGCAGCGCTTGACCCGTGACCACTAATCACAGAATCACAAATTGTTAAGGTTGGAAAAGACCTCTAAGATCACCTAGTCCTACCATCCACCTACCACCAATATTGTCCACTAAACCATGTAGTTTTTATTGATGATTTTTATTGTTTGATGCCCACAGCCTAAGGAGCTGGACCATCCTAGTGGAATACATTTTCTAATGTTCCAGAGATTCACAGTGGAAAATCCCAAGATGCTGAAACAAAGATGGTCCTTGAGCCTGGAGTAAAAAGTATTGCCGAGAGAGTTAAATTAGAAATGAGTGCCTTGAAAAATAAGCTTGTTATTACAGACAAATAAAGCTTTTGTAGAAGCACAGAAACAGCCCTTCCTTGGTTAATATGCATTCCTACATTATGCTTTAACACTAATGAAGCAATGTGGTTGGAAGCTAGCTGATGCAGAAGTCTGGGAACTGTGGGCTGGCAGCCTCTGGGCCATTCGTTCTGGGTACGCCCATTGCATGTCCCACAGCCACAAATCCCATATGCCAATTTTATCCCAAGGAAGTGCTGCTGTAAGAAGCAAGCTGAAGCACAAGTCTTGCAGTTTCATGGTGGGATTGCGAGCATATAAAGCTCTCCTGGAAACAGCTTTATACTTCCTGCATATGTTGAGTCTTGGCAAAGAACTCTGCTTCACACAGCCTTTATTCTCCACTTGCCAAGTATGGCACATGCATGTTCCAACTGGTTCTCAAAGAGAGGCTTTTAGCTCTGGTTGTAGCTCAAGATTCCTAATAGGTTAATTACGCATGTTGAGCATTAGATACCAGTACACTGGTATCTCTATTTTATGACAAACGTGGGCTTTTAGCTTTTATCAGCCTTGCCATTACCCTTAATCAGTTGCTCTCCTGAATGTAGGTATAAATAAAACACGTACAAAACATTTCAGAAACTCCAAGATTTAGTATCCATTTACATCTGCATGCTTAATTTGTATGTACGGTTATTGCTTTTCTAAAAGCATTCATGAAGTATTTGTAGGAGCACTCACATCCACAATTGCCTCAGAAAATTAGCTGGAGAGCTTGCATATGGGGATGTGTGTTTAGATTGCCTGGAGAATCTTGGCCATGGGTTAAGAATCTTGGACACGGCTAAGCTCCTACAAAACCCATGATCCATATTTGATAACTGGAATCTGAACAAAAAGGAGAGGGATGTGCACCTAAACACGCTTCATCATGAAAATGTGATGGGTGGGTCAGGAACAGAGTGGTTGATAATGAAGAGGGAGGGTTAGGGGCGTGGAATAAATAGTTATTATGTGAAATTTAAACTCTTACGAAAAAAAACAACTGGTTGAGCAACCAGCCTTCACAGCTCCAATAGACTGTTTTCAATAACGAGAATCCAGTAAAAGCAGCAGCAATGTTGTCCATAAATCAAGTTGTGATAGCACTGGTTGTCTTCCTTTTGGTTATGCAGTTTTTAAAGTTGCAACGAGCACGGAGACGCTTTCCTCCTGGACCGACCCCTCTCCCCGTTCTTGGCACCTTGCTGCAGCTGAACTTCCAGATCAATCGTGACTGCCTCATGAAGGTATTTACTTTCAGATAATCCTAACAGCTTAGAAGTCTTTGTAATTTGCTGTTTCTCGTGTTGTATGTGTGTGAAAACCAATGCTTCAACCTCTCCCCTTTTAACCCTGAGTTTGACAAACTCGTGTGAAACTTAATATCCTTTAGGATAAACACCTTTAGGGATAACATATCAGATTTGAAGTCAGAAAAAAGAAACACTTTAAAGAGTGACTTTACAGCACGAATTTTTAGCTTTCTGAGCATTGTTCTCTAACTTCATTGGTGAGCAGACACTGAAGATCTGCTGTGTGTGTATGTGCTCGTGGTATCGATGGGATCTACAAAGACCCACAAAACCTTTGTTAATGGAGGAATCCCTCTTGATATAAAGTCTGGAAAATATCTTTTGGATGGAAAATATCCTCTATCATGTGAATAGCAGATGATGAGACTCCTGTGAACTGAGCCTTGATTTGTATACGAATAGAACCTACTTGATGTCTGTTGGCATAAATCTGTGGCTCTGAATAGCTGGCAGACTCAGCTGTTTCCAGCAGTGAATGCTGGAAAAGACATTCATACCTTCTCACTGATAATTGTAGTCTCATGGAGAAGATGTGGAACATCATTCCAGGTTAGGGCTGGTCCTGTAATTAGCATAAGAACAGGTTCATCTTGTGTTTGTTTGTGGTGTGTGGGATTTCAGCTGTGCTTTGCTGGCTTCTCTCCCATCTACAGTTGGCAAAAACTTACGGCAATGTGTTCACCTTGTGGTTTGGATGGGCCCCGGTGATTGTACTGAATGGATTCCAAGCAGTGAAGGATGGTATGACCACACATCCCGAAGATGTGTCTGGGAGGCTGGTGTCTCCTTTCTTCAGAGCTATGGCCAAAGGAAAAGGTGCAGTGATTTTTTGCTCAGAAATATTATCTTTACAATTGCAACTCTTTTGTAGCTCTTTTGTACCCGCCCCTAACAGCACCACAATGGCAGGTTTGTCTATAAGGGATGACGCCCTCCAACCTCACTATAGGTTCCACACTCCCCAACCACAATGGAAATTCCCAAGCTCCTGATTTTCTTCTTCCCATCATTATTATCTCAGGCCTGTACCTAGCCTGGCTAAGCAATCTGACTTTGATTCAGCATTGATGAAGTTCATGGTTAAGCCACTTCACAGCTCTAAGTTCTTCCTATTTGGCACAAAAAATGCATTATAGGTGTATGTCTGTAAATTTGTTTAGGACTTTGCCTATTGTAATCGTAATACATTGAGGTCACCAAGCAGCTGCAGTTGTCAGAGTCTTGCAAAATGTTTCCTGACAGGCTTCTGCATCTCCACTTGCAGCAACACTGTGATATTTAGGAATGAGAGTGTTCTTTCAGGTGAAAGAATGCCTTAGTCTGTAGTAAATGTTAGCATGATAAAGAATTCTGTCTTTCATGGACTCAGGGATTATGTTGGCCACTGGTCACACATGGAAGCAGCAGAGGAGGTTTGCACTGAAGACTCTACGCAACCTGGGTCTGGGGAAGAGAGGTCTGGAACAACGAGTGCAAGAAGAGGCCCAGCACCTGCTGGAATTCTTTGCAAGTTTGAAAGGTACCTCTGTGACAAATACCAATTCATTTCTGTCATTGATCTGATGTCTTTAGTGTATCACACTAAATCTTCTGTTCCATGAGTCATACTGCACTGATGTAGAATGGACTGGAAACACAAAGAACCCAGTCCTGTGCTTTTTCAGACTCAGTGGGAGGCTCAGAATTAAACACTGCAGCACTACTTGCATGCACTCTGCAAGGCAGTGAGTACAATTCTGTTTTCATTACAACATTTTATCCTGATCAACCCAGTTAGGAGCATTTGTGTTGAATTTCCCAATACTGATCATTATGCAAAGCACAGTAAACCAGGACGTGCTCTGGCTAGCATTGTGTCAATTAGACGTAATTAAATCCAACCCAGTCTCTTGACTTAAGAACTAGGGAAGATGGAGTTGTGGCCACATGTGCAGGAAAAGAAGAAGACTCCTGAAGTTCAGAACAATAAATGACTAAGCCTTGTGCCTTGGATGTTGGAGAGCTGCATCAGTACAGGCATAAATACATTTATTTATACTCTTTTTTTCCGAAGCTGTGAAATTATTTTCTTATTAATCTTCTTATTGATTGCATCATGGCTGTAAAAAATCAGTAGAATACCAGTGGCAGCTTTTCAGTATCTAAGAGGGGCTGTGAGAAAGATGGGGATGGACACGTTAGCAAGATCTGCTGTGATACGATAAAGTGAAATGGTTTCAAACCAAAAGAGGAGAGTTTTAGGCTGGCTATAAGGAATTTTTTTACAGTAAGGCTGGTGAGGCACACAGGTTGCCCAGAGAGGTGGTATCCCTGGAGACACCCAAGGTCAGGCTGAATGGAGCTCTGAGCACCTGAGGGAGCTGTAGGTGTCCCTGTTCAGTGCAGGGAGTTGGGTCAGGTGGCCTTTAAGGTCTCTTCCAACTCAAGTGGTGATGATTATTACAATTTTGTAAAAGGGTTGCTAATTGTGAAATGCAGTGCTTGCTTGAAAGTTCTTTAGGTAACCTATGAAGCAAAACATGAGACATTCAGAGTGATGTTTATTGTTGTGGTTGCAGAGAAACCTCTGGATCCTTATTACCCTCTCATTCATTCCGTCTCCAATGTAATTTGTGCCGTTGTTTATGGACACCGCTTCTCCAGAGGGGATGAAACCTTCCATGAACTGATTAGAGCCACAGAGCATATCTTCAAATTTGGAGGCAGCCTTCTTCACCATGTAAGTAAATGATCTGTTGTCTTTGGCTGAATAACACAGAAAGCGGGAAATGCAGATTTGAGAGGTGGCTGTTGGGCATAACAGTTTCAAATGGGTGAGCAACATCCCATGCAGCTCTACTGGGCATCACACTGTCTTCAGATGGGATGGTAATGCACTACATACCAGTCTTCATCACTTGTGCTCATTGTCTCGCAATAAGTAGTTTACTCTTAGATCTTTGCAACAAGACATGAGCTGATGGAATGCTCCTGGGTCGTGTTTGGTACTCAGTTGCTCACCAAATGGCCTGCCTAGGGCATCATGATAAATGCTGAATGTCAGGTCTGAAAATGTGATTCACCACCCCAAATATAGACACAGTCTCTCTAATTTAGTCTTGCTAATTTAGTGTAGTCTCTCTAATTTAACCAGGGGTAATTAGCAGAATACAAGATGAGCTCAATAAGAGGAAGACAGAGAAATCTGTGTAGAAGTTGTTTCAAGTTTTATTGAGGATTCTTTCAGAGGTCTTTCAGTGTAGAGTGCTTTGAGGAACGACCCAGTTTGTACACCAGCCTTTGCTAGGTGGCCTTTTTTGGGGTTCACCGACTGCCTTTATACCCCCTGGTGAGGACTGTTTGCAATGCCTTTGCTTCCTCATTTCCTAGCATTCTCCACTGGAGGGCAGGATCTCGCTTTTAAAAAGCCCAAGTACAGTTCATTCTAGCTGAAGACAGGTTGAATGACTGAATAAATGGCTTCAGTTCTTTCTAATGATAATTGCTCTAATTTGGATTTCGACTGAGCTTGAAGGTCCGTGTAACTCTGAGTCTCATCATTAACACAGCTGGAAATTATGCTGTATACCGTTTCACAACTCAAAAACATAAATGCACTCATCCTCAGAATATTTTATTAATTACAAAAAAATCTCCATGTGCTAATGTTGATATTAACTTCTTTTTAAAGTAGGTCTAAGTGCATTTCATAGTGATGGAGACTTTGTGGTACCTCTTGTATATCACTCCTGCAGCTGTATGAAATCTTCCCCTGGCTGATGTGCCATCTCCCTGGTCCTCATAAGAAAGCATTGTCTTGCTATGACATTTTGAGCTCTTTTACAAGGAGGGAGATCAGAAGGCACAAGGAGAGAGAGCTACCAGATGAACCGCAGGATTTCATTGACTTTTATCTAGCTCACATTGAAAAAGTAAGTGTGTGTTCTGCTTGGTCATACATTAATGGGTTGTTAGGTGAAAGACTGTTAAATCATCCATTCTTTTGCCTTTTTATCACCATTTCTTACCCATCACGGACATCTCATTGTGAATCCAGTAACCTGAGACTTGCTAAATCCTAGAATCCTAGAACGTTAAGGTTGGAAAAGGCCTCCAAGATCACCAAGTCCAACCGCCAACCCATCCCTGCCATGCTCACCAAACCCTGTTCTCAAGTGCCACATCTCCACAGTTCCTGAACACCTTATTTATATGCCACACAGTCCTGCAATTCTTTCATTAAAGGGTAGTTAATGTACTGCAATTTTTCTCAATTATTTGTGGCCTAAGTGAAAGAACACTGAATTTAGAAGAAGACCACAAGAGAGCTGGAAAGGGATTGGAGAGTCAGAGTGCAATGTTCTGTATATTCGTATATATAGTCCAGGATGGATGTCAGCCTAACATTTGGTTCCTTGGATCCTTTTGCTTTATTTTCACAATATTAACACATCTGGCCTTTCAAAACATTTAAGTACTTCTTAAGTCTTTCAGTACTGTTTTAAGATTTATGAAACCTGAGCATTGATGGACCAGAAATTGTTTTAGTGAGCTCTTTTGGGATGCTGCTGGGTGGAAATCATCCAAGTTTGCTTATTAAAAAAATAGAGCTGTCTGTGGTAGGCATGTAGGGGAAATATAAAAAGATGTGATATTACAGTAGAGAAAAATATCCTTCCCACTTTCCATCCTGCTCCATTGGCAAAAGAAGGTATTTCCTCCCCAGATGTCGGTAATGCATTCTCCAAAAATGTAACAATGTTCCTTCATGATTTTGGCATATACATAACAAACCTCTATTTTTTTCGTACTCTTTGCAGTCTGGAGATGAACCCAAGTCTACGTACAATGAAGAAAACATGGTTTATTCTATAAATGACCTCTTCTTGGGTGGATCGGAGACAACGAGCACTACTTTGAACTGGGGCCTCCTCTATATGGTGGCATATCCAGATGTCCAAGGTAAGAGGAAGAGGATCACATGTATCTCTGGTGCAGTAGAACAGTACAGACATAACATTTTAATGGATCTTGAGTTGGGTTCTGTCTTAGAGAGCAGTAAACCTGACTGATGGCTGAAGATAATAAACCATAAACTGATGTGTGATAGCAGGGATGCCACTTTTGGGGAACTTCAGTTTGGTTTTGTGTTGATCCAGTAGGAGTGTTGGGGGCTATAGGGAGTGCTGCCTTTCTATGTGCTCTGTGGTCAGAGGAGTAAAGCTAACCAGCTGAAGGGCAATTGGCAGCTTCTATTTTTTGTCTGTTGGTCCATTTCTGAGCCCAAGGTATCAGGGTGTCAATTTAGTCTGAGGTTAAATTAACTCTATGATGCATTTGAGTTTCTTGCAGCAGACATTATTCCAGCTGGGAGGAGAATTTAATGGTTTATCTGCTACGTCTACGTACATTTTAGTTGTTTATTTTTAAGTCTATCTTTTAAATATCAGTCACTGACATAGAGCACTAAATGAAAAACAGAGAATCCTTTCTTATGCTGGATAACAGAGGAGCCATTGTTAGATAGCAGAACATGTGCAAATACCCAGAGAAGAAGAGGAATTTAAATGGATGAAAGAGATGAAGATAAGAAAAAATTGCTTAACATGTAGCTGTCAGACAATAAGGTCTACTTAATCTCGTGCTACTGCACGGTTATTATCACCCTGTAATTAAGATTATGAAAGCGCTGACTCACCTAAATAATTTTTCTTATCTAAATATAACACCCTGCACATACTTGGGAAAGCAGGGCGTGTGCAGGATGATCCATGCCCAGCTTCTTGAGTCATATGTTTCATCCAGACTCTTGTAATGAACAGACACCAGTATGTCTGTCCCCAGCAATTGGTGTCTTCTTTTTTTTTTTGAAGAAGCTGGCATTGCTTCATTTAACATGTCCTGCATAAGACCCATGTTCTTTTAATAGGAATTAGGCTTATTATGTACAGATTCACCTTGCTTGAATTCCAGACAGCTATGACCGTATTGGTTGTAAATGGCTGTAAGTGCCCAAGGCACCTCGCCAAAAGAAAACACAATGATAAATCAGTTTGCTTGCACTGAAGCATAAGGCTATGCTTAGATCTAAAAATCTGAGCAACAAATGTCTTTTCTTAATATAGCATCAAATAGTGTCAGAGCCAGTAGAATTCCTCCAAGTTTAAACTGCTGGAACCTCACTGACTTTCCTTTATAAAATTGGCCTACATTTTTGTTTTAGTTTTGTTGCTGTCGTAGTAGTTCTAAATGGAAAATGACTTTGAAGATGGTGATGTATTTCCCCACCTGAAATTATGAATATTTCTCCATAGAGAAAGTGCAGAAGGAGCTGGATGCTGTTTTGGGTCCTTCCCAGACCATCTGCTATGAGCATCGGAGAGAACTGCCCTATACGAATGCTGTGATCCATGAGATCCAGCGCTTCAGCAACATTATCTCTATTGGCATGCCCAGGGTGTGTGTGAGGAACACAACATTGCTGGGATTTCCCCTCAAAAAGGTACCATTTCTCACAGCTGCTACAGGCCTTTCCTCTATCAGCAGAACAAATTGTGCATTCTACTTCTACCAAGGCTTTTTCCTCAACAGAACTGGGGTTGGGTACCTCTGGGTCAGAGTTTCAATAAGAAAGAGGACAAGGAACCATTTCTATTGTTGTGATGAGTGATGCAGCTCTTGGGAGAGGGTCATCAGTAGTGGAAGATGCCAAAGGGTGGAAGATGAGATTTTAGCCAAAGACAAAATCTTGGAGATTGATCCTGTAGCATACCATGATTGATTTTATGTTGGTACAGCAGTAGGATTATTCTGAACAGAATTTTTGTCCACAAGAAGCCTGAAAAATATCAAGGGAAAAGCAGTAAGGTTTGCAACTTGCTTTGTCAAAGACACTAGATCACAGAAACTTTTAATGTGAGAAGTGAAAATGGTACAAATAATGTTAGTTTCTACTGACACAGCAGCTTCCATCTCTCTGATGTTTTAAATCAAGGCCACAATCCGTTCCTCCCAGTTCTTCACTTCCTGCTGGGGAAACAAACTTACCAACCCATGATGCTGAACACTGAAATCAAGCGATGTCTAACACTGGTTCATCTCTCAGCTTCAGGCTGCTAAGAGAAGATGGTCAGCCAGAATTAACGTTTCTCTCCTTTCAGGGCAGCATTGTTCTTCCAAATATTGCTTCTTCTTTGTATGACCCAGAGCACTGGGAAACACCTCGACAGTTCAACCCTGGTCATTTCTTGGATAAGGATGGAAACTTTGTGAGCCAAGAAGCCTTCTTGCCATTCTCAATAGGTAAATTTACTGACGCCGCAAACATCAGTGGGTTGGGCTGGGGCTGTAGAAGTAAGACATCTATTAAAGACCTACTGGTCATCTATTTTAATCCTCTTTGTGAAACACAGTGAGAAAATTAAAATTATTTCTGGTAACATTTCCCAATCCAATTGTAAGCATCTGTTCTACTGAACAACTAATAGCATGGAAAATCAGAGGCGTACTGGTAAATACATACATACAGCTTGCCCTATTTTCAGAAGGAAATTCTCTGCTAATGATGATGGTTGTTCATTTGTGGCAACATTTCAACTCCAGGCATATATTTGGAAAACAGTTTCAAACACTTATGCTGATGCTTAATGCATAGAAAACTGGAGCATGATATCTTCTGGGAAGAACAATTCTTTATTCTTCACGTATACGATTAAACAAATTCATTTCAAGTTGTCAGTCAGATAAAAGTAAGAATTTTGATGTAACTGAAACAAATTTCAAAGCAGAAGGGGTGCTCAGTTGTCTACAACTGGAGAGAGGGCTCTGTATAAAGGCAGAATTACAGAACATTTTGTGTCATTGATTGCCTTCAGTCCTACAGGAATTCCAGATTTAGCAAAAATACTCTGGCTTTATAGAAGTACTGAGGTTGGAAAAAACCACAAAGATCACCAAGTCCAACCACCAGCCCATCCCCACCATGCAGCTAACAGTGTCCCACAGTGGTTGTGCTCAATTACGCGACAATGAATTTATCTGCTTCCGAGGTCAGGGTGATAAACTCACCATCGTCACCCTCTTCCTCCTGCAGGGCACCGGGTGTGTTTGGGGGAGCATCTGGCAAGGACTGAGCTCTTCATTTTCTTTGCCAACCTGCTGCGGGCATTCACCTTCCGGCTCCCTGAGGGAGTGACGACGACCAACACTGAGCCCATTTTTGGGGGCACACTGCAGCCCCACCCATACAAGGTGTGTGCCATCCCACGCTAGGCTGCGGACATCACAGACCACCTGCACAGCAGTCTTACTTTTGTGAACATACGGTCTCGAGACCGTATATACCAACTACATGGTCGCGTGACCATATTACTTTTTCCCCTACTGCTCAGAAAGTCCCTTTTATCTACAGTAGAGGATTTTTTTTTCGAATCCTGTTACATGCTCTTGAAGGTGATCTCAGTTTTTGAACTTACTCTTTTGATCTGGAGCCCATCCCTGTACTCAGCCATCATGCAGATGCTTTCTAGCCTGGCAGATTAAAAGACAATATCTGCTGAACAAATGATAACATTGACTGCAGTCTTCAAAACTTAAGTCACTACTGCCGAGCCGTTCTACTGTCTAAAGCAATGTAGTTTGGAAAACCATGAGTGGGAAATTCTGCCTCTTTGTATTATTGTCATCACTCATAACGTCTCAGTCAACTTTTTGTTGATGATAATTAATAAAAGACGTGAAGGAGAAATATTAGCAACTCTTTTAGTTTATGGTTTATTTACAGTTCGCTGTGAATTTCTAGATTTAGAAATTAGAGCTGATGGCGAGAATAATATATGGAAAAATTAGAAGTGCTTTGTAAATAATATATGGAAAAATTAGAAGTGCTTTATAAAAATCAGAAGTTCAGTGGTGTACCTGAAGCTACAAAGGCTTGCTATAGACACAAAATACTAGTCAAGTCTAAATAAAGAGTCCGTAATAGCAGAAAAGGAGAAAAATAATTGTTGAGTAAAAATTTCACAGGTTGGAAAAGATCATCCAGTCCATCCTCAACCCACCCCACCATGCCTACTAACCATGGCCCTCAGTGCCACGACTCTACCTACCTTGAAAACCCCAGTTTTGTTTATATAGTCTGAAAAAGACTTGTAAATGAACCTACCCTTTCTTAATATTCTTACTTCAGTGTGGGAGGACAGGGCAGCTGAACAGACGACCATGTGCTGAATCAGTCAGCACTAGACGTCGGCCACTGCGTGATGGAGATGAGTTTAGGCAGTCTACCCTGCATCACAAATTAAGATCTGTCTCATTATTTCTTGTTCAATTGCTGATAGGACATCGCATCAAAATAGAAAGGCACTTTATAACAGCACTTGATATTTAGCTGTTATTAAATTAAGTGGCAGAATAACACTGGTGAAATATGGAAGACCACATTCTGACATTTCATTTGACCGAAGTCTGTGTGCCCTGTTAAAAACTGATGTCAAAGTCTCTATGGATTTGCATGTTTGCGTGGATAGATAAGGCAAAGCAGAAAACGCTGTGATCTAGGGGCACTGGGGCTGTCATTGCTTCTTTAAAATGAAGCATAAAACAGCAATAGCATTGCAAGCATTAACGTCAGTGCTGTGCGATGCTGTCACTGCTGATGGCCATGTTCTCCCCCAAATCTGCTTTCGAAAGGGAAATTTCAGAAATAGGCTGAGATGGAAATGGAATGGCACAGCCCAAAGCAATGGGCATAGCTATGCTTGGCTGGGCACAGGGCATTCCAGAGTGAGTGAGTGGGGTATTTGCACGTGGCTGTGCTGATATCTGTCTGTGGCAGGAGGTGCTCACTGGGCGTTACAGCTCCTTAGTGCACAGGTGCCCAGGAGAGGGCACTCAACATCAGACAAAAGAGTTTCTCAGAGGTAAGAGGTTGAGAAAAATGGGTCACAGTGCAGAGATTTTGCAGTCCTCTTTTTACCCAGTGAGGATGAAAAAATAGGAATTCTAAGGAAAGGAGAAAGGTGAGGAAAAAAATTAAAGCCTTTCTGGGAAGAGAGCATTAGAATTAGTACAATCATTTTTTTTTCCATTATCAGTTGGAAGACAGATAAAGCAGCAAGGAGATGGGAGGAGTGAGTATATTTTTAATAACTGCAGTTATTTCTTTTCTAGTTGTCTGCTTGCTAAACTTGCCACGGAGCAGTGCTTGCTTCCTTCTGGATCAACTGCAAAATGTGACAATGAATGAAGCCCAAAGAAAGTGGTGATCCCTTAAAACTGTAGTATATCATGAAGGCTTTGGGAGATGGACAGTTTAATACCCTTTTTTTTTTTTTTTTTTTTGCTTCATTTGTCAGTGAAAATGGTGGTCTTGATCCAGAGGCAAATACATTTAACGTCAGGGACGTTCACGGAAGATTTCTGTCTAGATTAGGGAGAAGAGGTTAGAAAATAACTGGATTGATGTGATGTTTTCACACTGGCGAGGCTGATTCATCCCAGGGCACTGAGGGAGCAGTATCAACCTCCGAGCAATTAGCAATTATCTGTGAGAACCTGTGGAGGATGGGAAAAGGTCAAACGTTTGTTTGTCTTCAGGAGGTAGGGGAAGTTGCAGAGGTATAAATCAGCCTGATGGCAACTCCTCAGAATGTCCCGGCAAAAGTAATCGTGTGGTAAGACTGGGAGGTAAGCAGAAAAATCTGCAATCACCAAATAACGTTGACTTAACGTTATATAATGTTTATTTAATGTTTTCATTGATGGTGTGGCTAGAGGTCTGGTTTCGGGAGAAAAGGCATTCGTGTAATGTACTGCTCTCTAATGTGGCTCTGACAATCTCAGAAAGAACCGAGGGAAAAGTGAGGTGACTGAAGCTTTGCAAAACTTAATGAAAAACTCTGGGAATACTCATGGATGGCACCTTGTCAAACGGAAAGGATAAACTGAGTGGGATTTATTTTTATATCTAGCTCTATTCAGCATTTAATCAAAGACCTTGGTAGTTAGCACAAACACCAAGCCTTGTGCAGCCCCATTCCTTGAAGCTATCAGATCCCAAATTGTTGTATGCAGCAAGGTGAAAAACATTCCCAAACTTGGTGTGGTTCATGGAAGCCTAAAAGTAACACCTTTATATTTGGTTTGATTACTTTCATGCGTCTACGGAAGCTGTGATAACACTGCTATTCTCCTTATTTGTTCTAATGTCAGATAGTTGGAGAGGTGAGGGTGACCCTATTCCAACACCTTTCCATCAGGAATGCCAGCTTTCTCTGGGGAGTTTCTGCGGAGATCTTTTTGAGCATTACAGTTCTCACAGATCAGTAAATTGCAGCAGAGAAATGCTTTTTCATCTATGGAGCATCTTGCAGTGTTTGGAGTTGCTGAAAAGCCAGAGTATCCAGTTTGATGTCCAGAGCTAAAATATTTTATTTAGATTTTCTTGAATAAAAGATGTAGCAGGAAAAAACAAGAAATATTTCATTAAGAAAATCCTGAAGTGTTATTTGAAATTCTGAAAAAAATGTCTGATTTTAGTATTTTGACAGTGCATCCTCCGAGGAGCCAGGCAGAGGGCAGCAAAGGTCTCTTGCACAGAGCAGTGCCTGCGTTGCTGGAACCAGTTTGGCGAGAGCTAGCTGTAAAGGAACAAGTTTCACTGGGGTGCACTGCAGTTCGTTCTGTGTTCATCTGCCATCAGCATGAGTCTGGTTCAGGATGGGAAGGAGCTGCTGTGCACAAATACACAGATTCAAGTGCTGTGATATGATGCATTCAGTAAGTTTCTTGGAGATTTTGGTATAACAGAACGCTGGTGAACACAATCATAGAATCATTAAGGTTAGAAAAGACCACTAAGATCACCAAGTCCAACCCAACCCATCCCCACCATATCACTAACTGTGCCCCTCCGTGCCACATCTCCATGGTTCTGGAACACCTCCAGGGATGGTGACCCACCTCCCTGGGCAGCCTGTGCCAATGCATCACCACACTTTCTTGATTACTGGCTACGGTGCTGTAATTCACTGTGACCACGTTCCTCTGATCAAGATAAGAGGTCCATATTCGCTCTGTGTTTATGGTCTCCCACATACAGGAATGCAACGCGCTGAGGAAGCTCCCAAACAAACATATCTTGTGCATACCCTCATTTTCCCTAGGTGAGACAGTGGCATTACACCAGGCCCAGATGCTGGAAAAACAAAGTAATTATACAATTTGTAATGTGGGAATTGCAACAGCAAAGCTTAGAAGCAGAACATCGTTCCTTTCACCCTGTCTTTGTCCTTTCACAGAATCACAGAATAAAATCATTGAGGCTGGAAAAGACCTCTAAGATCACCAAGTCCAACCCCAACCCATCCCCACCACACCTCTAACCATCCTTCAGTGCTGCATCTTCACTGCTCCTGGACACCTCCAGGAATGGTGACTCCACCACCAACCTTGGCATCCTATGCCAGTGCATCACCACTCTTTTGGAGAAGAAGTTCTTTCTATTATCCTTTCCTCGCTGTTAAGTATTGCCAAGAGAGAAAAACTTTGCTATAATTCAAAACAAACAAAAGCAAACCAGAAATTATTAAATAGAATAATTTTAGCTATTTTCCATCATTTTCATTATTTCATTCAGTTATGTTTCTGCAGGAGAGAAATTGGGACTGAGAATTTCTGGCTCCTTTAGGCTGACTTTGACAAGAAGATGAAGACAGAGCTGGTCAAAATGATTCCCTTTGAACAGCACTGTCATTGGATCAAAGAAATCTCTGTACTCCATGCGTCTGAGCAGCAGGAAATATCTCCACAGCTCAACTTGAAATGCTCAGTGAACAAAGGTTAGAGGACTCTCCTTTCCGCCTGCCTTCCTGTCCTGAGAGGTGGGTTATGCTGCAAGTGCAGATGTTAAAAAGACCATTGCCACATGGTTTTAAGTGGCTCCCTCTGAAGCCTTCATTATGAGGCATGCTAAAATTTCACTGTTTGATCACACACTGTGCTATTCACAGGTACCCATGGGGCAGGACGGACGCTGCCAATGGTACAGGTTACATTTGGTATCTCAACACCCTTATCACCCAGTGGGTGCATTCTGCCTTACCACATCCTCAGCATTTGCACTGAAGCTAATACTGCATGTATACACAGCATTTCCTGTTACATCTTCATCACAGGGTCTAAATGCTGTGTAAAAGAGGACAATTAAACCTTCACAGCTCCAGAAATGATCACTCTGTTATTGCTAACAGGGAAACAGTCCTTGTAGCTCCAGTGCCAACAGTGTCAAACAACTTTGTGTGATTCATTAGATGAGCTCAGGCACTGAGTCTTCCAGCACATATTAACATCTACAACTACCAGAAAGGAGGTTGTGATGAAGTGGAGATTGGCCTCTTTTCCCATGTAACTAGTAACAGAACAAGAAGGAATGGCCTCAGGTTGTGCAAAGGGAGGTTCAGGTTGGGTATTTGGAAAAAAAAATTCTCCAAAAGAGAGGTGAGGTGCTGGAATAAGCTGCCCAGGGAGGTATTGGAATCACCGTCCCTGGAGGTACTCAGGACATGTTTAGATGTGGCACTAAGGGACACACTAAGGGCACTAAGGTGGTTTAGTGGGGTTATATTGGTGGTAGGTGGACAGTTAGGATGATTTTGGAGATCTTTTCCAACCTTGGTGATTCTGTAATTCTATGATTCTATATCAAAACACTAAAATAATATAAAAGGAAGCATTTGTTCTCAAATCACAACTGCAGTTGCTACACGTTGCGAGTAAACTGTGCTTCTCCAGACCTGAACTTTCTTGTCTGAAGATAGGCATCCATTAAGTGAACATACAATTAGCAGTTGGCTACATCTGAAGGGTAGGGACTGCGACTTGCCAAGCATTACGCAGGCATTCAGGGTGAGAAGCCAGCTTGAAAAGTGGTTTTCTGTTGGTGTGGCCAGATTTTCTTGCTCTTCCCTGACTCTTCATGACAGCATCAGAATCCTGCAGCAGAGGGATGAAGGCCTGAAGCAACAGACAAAGCCTTCTGTCATCTCAATTTGTTCACGGAGCAGGGCACTGACGCAATGCTGCCGATAGGATGTGGCACATCATTAAAGACTTTATGCACACAAGGGTCTGAACAGAGCTCTGACATGGGAACAGCAATCTGAGTAAGAGATTCAAGTGGAACTGCGTGGCATAGTTATCTTGCAATTACAATATGCAGGGATGTTACCTCCTTTCATGTGCATCCTCTTATTATTGCAGTCCTGGGAGTGATTTGCTCAGCCACTGGTTGAAGTGCACTGTACATTTGTGGTTCCATTTGGTCATGTCGTTCTTTTTGGCATCCATAAACTGAACATCACAAGGACCTCTGGGGGACAAAAAGTCTATTCATTAAAGAAATTATTATCATATGATTGTGACCGCCTTGTCTAGAAGAATTTTCTCCTTCTGAAGGTGTACTGGAAATACCAAGAATAAAGAAAAACAAAATTATCCTACTGTTTTTATAAGTATTTAACAAGAGAGATAAGGGAAGTAACAAAGCATACGAGGCCCATTGGCCAGCAAAGAAATCTTCCCATTTACCCATGGATGTTTTTCTAACTGGAGTCACTCTGGGCACTGATCGATGTGAAACTGGTTGTAAACGTGGGAAACAGCCTCACTTTGGAGAGGTGTCCATGGCTGAAGGTTGAGCTGAGTCACCTGGCTGCCAGCCCCACAAAGCTCCCATGTGCGGGAACTGTTCCTATTTCTTGAAAGCCCTACAAAAGGAAAAGGTCAGATCATCTTGCCTGGAAATTTCTAGCTACCTTTTTATTGGGACAGTAAATAAAAATTAGGTCATGTTTCCTTTTTTTTTTCCTTTGCTTAAGTGTGGGGATGTGTCCATGTGCTGCAGTTGCTTCATGTGCAATCGGTTGAGAAACTTAGCGCCGAAGGACTGCGTTTTCTGTGCCAGTGTTGACTGCTAATCTCTTGCACATTTGTTTGTTCTTTAGCATCTGTGGCTGCCACCCATCGTTACCTCTGATCTGTAAGTAATTGGTAAATGCTGAAAGCTGCTGAGCGTGCTTTCCATCCTTCTTGAAAGTCGCACGAGCAGAGGTGCTGTAGATGCTGGAAGGCAGCTGCATGGCAGAGCCATATGTGACACTGTCTGAGAGCTTTCTTCCACAGGAGGTTTAGATAAACAAGGTCATTGATTAAATGTGTCCCTCCCTCCTTCAGGGAACTGGCAGGAAATCAGCAAAGAACCAGCATGGCGGCAGCTGCTGGGAGGGAGGGCAGATTAGCAGGGCTTGTCAGGGCACAGTTCTGTCTGTAAGATCAATTTTAAAGGCAATTTCTTGCCACACACGGTGTGCAACCCTCCTGTTCTCTTCATATGAACACCTCACAGTCCCTGTCATCCTTGGAAGCAAGAAAGAAAACTCCCTGAGCAGGGAAGAAAGGCATGAGTCAGCTTCTGGCCATTTACACGGCCCACTGTCACATTGCTGCTTTAGCAAAACAGATTTCTTCTTTTAGCAGCTTAATGTGGTTAGTGCTTCACTTCGTAGGGCTGCTGGCTGCCATCAAGCTGGAGATTTAGGAGTGTGGATGTGATGGGAGGTTTTTGAGCTTCTGTGCTATTGACTCATTTTTTTTTTCCCTTTAAGATATACAAAATTAAATACAGAAATCTCACTAAATCTTTCTCCAAAGTACTTGGGAGGCTTATTTATGATCCTGAGTCAAGCTGTAAAACCTGGGATGTCATAGAAAGTAACCCAGCCTGAGATAAAGTCTGCAATGGGAGAAGCAGGAATGGCAGTGTAATTAATTGAAGGCTCAGAACTGTCACCACTTCAGGTTTGGTCGGAGGATGTGATATCTTCTGACAGTTACATGCCAATCTGCAACCCTCTTCGATGCCCACCTGGCCACTTCTGTCTCAGCCTTCCCCTGTATTGTACCTCCTGTTGCTTTTCTTTTGTTTGCCACACACTAATTAACGAATCTGGGGAGTTGTAAATACCTGACTGCAAAGGACTTACAATGAGAGGTGTAAGCTGAAGATAGGCAGTGGGAGTTGGTACAGCTCCACTTGTACTAATCTGGGATAATGTATTGCTACAAGTGGAGTGTAGTAATTATATTACTGAGTTGGGCTGATTCTGCCTTTCATGTTTCACAGCTGACTATAATTTAAGTTCCTGCTGTGTAAATGTAGGGGTATTAATACTTGTCTGATTAGCAAGTCAGCTCCGTTACAAATTTTAAATATAAATAATCCTGTAGGGGTTATAGGAATAGATATCTTTTCTTTGACATATCGTAAGTGTGGTTAATAATGATAAACCACCCTGAGCTGCTTGATAGATTGGGGAACTAGAGAAATGAAATCATTCCTTATTGTTAGTGCTATGTGAAGTAAATTGAAGTTATAGATCCATCCTTATGTCTTGTGTGGGGTTTTTTTTTGGAAAAACTGCTCAGAAGGAATGGTGGTGCACTGGCACAGGCTGCCCAGGGAGGTGATGGAGTCCTCAGAGGTGTTCCAGAACCATGGAGATGTGGCACTGAGGGATGTGGGCTACACTGTTGGTAGGTAGATGGTTGGACTAGATGCTCCCAGAGGTCATTTCCAACCTTAATGATTCTATAAACTCCAGGACATCCTGGTTTTGAGCACATAGACTGTTTAAAGGTAGTGATGGGACCCGGGCCACACTGGTCCTGCAAATAAACGTTGCTGATTGTGTGTCTGGAAGAGGAGGCATGAGTCTGTTTATTAGCTTTGCATAGATAAGGTCGTAAAAAATGACTTTTCTATTCTGTCTTCGCTGTATAGTGCAGGCATAAAGGTATGTGTGATAGCTGCAGTGTTGGGCAAAGTGAAGGAGACAGAATGATATCACTGAGTCACTTATTTCCCTAATTTGCCAGGTTTGCAAAATACTGCATGTATGTGGGAGGACAGGGCAGTTTCTTGTTCAGGCTTGCGCTTAATTTTTCAAACGAAGACGCTTTCTCTTTCCAATGCAAGATAAGATCTCCTGATAATTGACACTATGCTTTCCCCCTTCTGCGTTGTGCAGTAGGTGTGAATCCCTTTGTTGGCAGATGATGGATTTTTGACGTGTTCTGTAAACTTACTGACAACTGGTCATCATAGCCAGGACTCTGAAACTGTGATCGAAACTGTAGAAAATAAACCAAGGATAACAAAACCCTTAACAGAAGTGATGTACTAAAAAATAGAAATTAATAGCAATTGGAAATTTATATTTAATTGTTAGGTACAGCATAATTTTTATGTTTTGACATTGTGATGTATGTTTGTAAGCATTATCTTTGTGTCATTCATCCTCACTTGAGGAAAATGCTATTCGTGTACTGGCAGGCAAATGCGAATTTGCAACTGCATGTAAAGATAAATAACATTTAAGACTAAAACACCTGTTAAGTCTAACCTACTATTTACATTCTGCCATGTAACTCTCATCATCTGAATTCAGTAATTAGGAGATGAACAACTATGTATGTTTTTAAGGTTCCCAAGGCTTCAGCAGAAGTCATTCCACGTTTTCAGGTTCTGGCTACTTACAAAGAGCTTGGTATGCCTCTGGTCAGTGATCAGTCTGATCTATCTCAGTAATGGGAATAGATGGGGTGCCAGGAAAGGGTAGGCAGTGATAAAGAGGGAGGGACAGAGGGAGGGAAAGAACTGGGACTCTACAGGACTCAGTCTGCAAAGAGTACTGGCGTAACGAGGAGGAAGATCACCTTTCCCAAGCTCCAGTACTCTAAGCTGAAAAATCAGCTTTGAAATGCTGACAATTAGCCAAGCTTTTGTCATTTTGGTAATTTTTTTATTAAGTGTTCAGTTTCTCAAACTGCAAAAGGCACGCCAGCAATTCCCTCCTGGACCAACTCCTCTCCCATTGCTTGGAAACTTGTTGCACTTGAACTTTCAGTTTCATCGGGATCTTCTGATGGAGGTATTTATTTTCAGATACTCCTGATTGGTTAATTTTTGTCACAACTTAAAGCTGATAAATTAGCAACCAAATGACATTTTTAACTCTTAGGAGAGGGGCAGACAAAGTTTGAATCATAGAATATCTTGAGTTGGAAGGGACCCCATAGGGATCATTGACTCCAACTCATCTTTATATATATGTATAAAGATGAACTTGATTCCTATATTCAGGTTATGTGAAATGAGCTGGCTTCACAATGAGCTCAGTCCTCAGTGATTCTTAAGAATCAAACAAATTGTGGATAGGGTTTCTGACTCATTATTTAGCTGGGAGAATACCGAGTTAAAAAGATGCTTCTCCACTGCTGCTAACTCAGCAGGGAGGTGTCACTGCCTATAGCAGGGGAGCTGGAATATACAGACCATCTTAAATGTGCCTTCCAATCCAAACCATTCTATGATTCCATGATTCTAACTCCAAATGTGTTTCTTGAGGAGAAATAAGTGACTGCTGTGACCAAGTGGATGTAATTCTGGAGGTGCCTTACACGGAATCTCCCATCTTTTCTGTATCGCTGTGGGAGCAGAGTCCCATTCTTGTATGAAGCTCTTTTTCCATTATTAACTGAATTTCTTCTGTCATACGCTTGTCTCTGCTTAGGGGTTTCTACTGCCTCCAATGATCAGTGCTCTCAGTATTGTGACTTAGCTGCAACACACTGCAGAGCTGTTGACTAATTTGTGGTTCCACCTTCTCTCCTGGAGCACACAGAGGAAGCAGGTTTAATCGGTTGGTTTCCTCTTGCAACAGAAGGGATACCTGGAGGCACAGAACCCCTGGGATGTGCACAGTGTGGCTGTTCTATTAACTAGTACAAACTTTGGGACTGGATATGACACAACCTAAAATACAAAGTTTTCTTTGTGTTGGTGCCGTGTTGGTGCAGGCTGTGCTTTGAAAGGAAAGTCACTTCCCCAGGGTGATTAAAATTGGCTACTGAAAGCCTCATTCTCAGAAAAGCAAGACTGCTTCTAGCTGTAATTCTGTTCATAGGGATGATGTTCACAGCGTGAAACTGGCCATTTGGCCAGTGAATACCAAGTGTGGTATCTACTGGAGGTGTATGGAGCTTCACGTGTTCTCTTCTGGCAACTTTCCCATCTACAGCTGGCAAAAACTTATGGCAACATATATACCTTGTGGTTTGGGTGGACCCCGGTGATCATACTGAATGGATTTCAAGCAGTGAAGGATGGCATGACAACACACCCTGAAGATGTTGCTGGGAGAATGGTATCTCCTTTCCTCAGAGCAATGGCCAAAGGAAAAGGTGAGATTTTTCCTTCATGAGGATAAATAATGCAGAGTAATGTTGACTTTGCAAACACTTCTGCCTCAGCCTTGTCAAACCCTCTACCCTCCCATTCAGAATGCTCATCCAATGGATACTGCCCAAATCCCCTACTAGCCTCATGCATATCCTGCTATTCGTCGTGATGCCTTTTATCCTGAGCTTTCCCAAGCCTGGGAAACACTCCAAATCAGGTTATTTCTAGGTGGCTTTTTTTTTCTGTGTTCAAGATGTGTGCAATCCTAGCTCAGGACTCAGCAATCTTGCTCTCTGCATGGAATAATCCATCCTGCTGCAAGGGATTTTGCTGCACGTTACATGGACACAAAGCATCCTGGTAGGTTTGGCAACTATATGTAATACATGTGGCTGCCAAACACGTTCCATGTCGTTTGGATATACTGGGCTGTGATTTCTGATTACTGACATTTGACCTCCTAAAGATACTTTTATCACAGTGCGGTACCTGGTTTACTCCATATATTCCACAGTATACTATTTTTAAATGAATTATTTGTGTCTATGGTAAATATTAATATGGCAGGGAATGCTCTCAGGTATTTTACTGGCAAGTGGTCGCTCGTGGAAGCAGCAGAGACGCTTTGGTATAATGACTCTACGCAACCTGGGAATGGGGAAAAAAGGCCTGGAGTACCGAGTGCAAGAGGAGGCTGCTCACCTGGTGGAGCTCTTTAGGAACCTGAAAGGTATCTGTCTGCTATGAAATTAGACACTTTTCAGTCCTGGATCCATACCTTCAGTATGAAAGCTTACCCTCTTTCTTGGGTCGGAGGGGGTACGGAATGGGATATCCAAACTCAGTGAAGCCTGAAGAGCAGACTCAGTCTATTATTACAAGTGGGAATTTCTTAAAAAGCACTTTCTAACCTTACTGAAGTACCAAACTTCTGAAATCCCTCTTTCTTGTGTTTATCATTTATGTATCATTTACTGAATGAACAATAACGTGGTGTCATTGAATTGTGTGGCAAAGTCAATCATGGATTTTCCATAGTAGGTAACTAAAGAGTATTGCAGAGATGAGTCCTTTTTCTAAATTCCAACGATGCCAAGTGCCATGACATAAATTGGGGAGGATTTTAGTGTCTGTCTGGCTAAATAACTATTGGCAATAGAACCAAAAGTAGGAGGTGAGAGGGGAACTTCAGCAGATGATCTGGCTTGGTGTAGCATCCAAGCCAGGATCACTTCCATCCAAAAAAACTTTGACAGATGTCTGTCTCATATCTTTTAAAAAAATCATCAGAAATAATTACAGTTTCAGATGTAGAGAGTATATAAACATTTTGTTACTTTGCAGTTTCTATCCATCTATTCTGCCTCTTTAGCATAGGAAGGGCTATGAGATTGTTTTAGAGCTATGCTCAAAGACTATGTATTATTTTTGTGAATACACATTTATGCCACATCTGTCCCCATTCATGCCCCAGCTCAATAAGTGGAGAATTTTATGCAATCTCTATTAATCTCTTGTTCTGTTTGTGTAAGGAACAGCTGAAGAAAACACTGAAAGTGAATTCTAGTTACTGTGTTTGCAGGAAGACCTATGGATCCTTCTTTTCCTCTTTTCCATTCTATTTCAAATGTAATCTGTGCTGTGGTTTTTGGATATCACTTTTCTGATGAGGACAAAACCTTCCACGAGCTGATCAGTGCCACAGAGAAGATATTTAGTTTTGCGGGCAGCTTCTTTTATCAGGTGCGTAAATAACAGGTTGTTTTTTTTCTGAACTAGGTCAAAAATGAAAGGGCAGTTACAGAAACAGGTCTCTGAAAGTCCCAAGATTCAAGTTTTGTCTGAGATTTTTTGTTAGACAGCCCCCATAAGATAAAATGAAGGCCAACTTTGCATCCAGATTTTCTCCATTAGTTACATTTTGATGTTTGCATCTGTGAATAAACTGGGTAATGGGGATTTTCAATGGCGTGACAAATTCCACTGATATCTGAGTTTTATAGGAAAAAGGAAACCAAAATGTTGATGAGGTAGTAAACCTTCAACAAATCTATCATGTGATAGTAACACTATTCAGGTCACCTGTAGTAAAGCTGCTATTTAAGCAGGCAGAAGGAAAGTCTCTTTAGTCCTGCCTCAGTAATATGGAAGGCTTCAGACAAGGTTCAAGATACCCTCTAAAACTGCACAGTGCAAAGACAGCTTATAAACTGTCAGGAAGTAATGAGACAAATGTCTGCTACAAGCTTATAACATTCCAGTCCAAAGGTTTAGGGAAAAGAGACTGGTGTAAACTAACAGATAACAGGGTGAAAAAGGCAGACAGGACCCTTGAGTGTTTCCAGCAATACCTTCCCTTAGATCCAGAGAAGTGTCTCACTGGGTTCTGGTGTATAACCTCTGTTGGTGTGTCACTCCTGCAGCTGTATGAAATCCTCCCCTGGCTGATGTGCCGTCTCCCTGGTCCTCATAAGAGAGTGTTGTCTTGCTATGACGTCCTGAGTTCTTTTTCAAGGATGGAGGTCAGAAGACATGTGGAGAGAGGGACACCAGATGAACCGCGGGATTTCATTGACTTTTATCTGGCTGAGATAGAGAAAGTAAGTGTTCATTCTGCCTGGTCGCACACTGATGGAGTACGTAAGGCCTAACAGACAAGGACATCAGCCATTCTGTTTACACAAACAATGCCATAATAAGTCTGCTAAGTCTCTCTGCCCAGGTTATCCATTTCCCTAGCAGGAAGTGTCTCGTGAGCTAAAAAAGCTCTGTTAAGGACACAGAGTTTTCTGATGCAAACTTTGTCATTTTGGAATACTTTTGGATGCTAAGAAGCAACTTGAGATACTTAAGAAATATCTCCTGGAGGTGATGATGTATATGTAGCTACTACCTCTGGTCATCACCTTTCAGCTAGTCAGGATGCCATGTTCTCAGTGTTGGCACATGGGCTCAGGAAGGTGATACATCCTTTTTACAATAAATATGAGTGACTCCTAAAATAAACACTTTAGAGGCAAAGATGCACCTTTTTATCTGAATTTTTCTAAATGTTTTTCTATTTTACTCATCATAAGAAAAAGATACTTGGATACCTTTCTTCCACCACTTGACATCTATCCTAAACTGAGAATGGACATGATCATCATGATCTCTTAAGATTCAGATGCTTTATTCTTTGTTATTTACTGCACTGTTTGATATCTTACTGTTGAGACCAAGGCACAGAGAGTGACGCACTGTGGGCCGCATGTTTAGAAGTACACTCTGGACAATCTGTAAAAGCTGCTGCTACTTCTTTCATAGAATCCTAGAGTTGCTAAGTCTGGAAAAGACCTCTAAGATCACCATCCACCTACCACCAATATTGCCCACGAAACCTCATCCCTAAGTCAACAGGCGTACACCTGCCTGTTTCTTTCTATTTTCCTTTTCAAAATGAAATAATATTTCATCTCATGAAAAAGAGCAATGCAGACTTGCAATGTACATTTGAGAAACATTTCACCTCTTAGTACTTGTCAAAAACTGTAACTCTGAATATTCTTTGTGCATGTGCCAGTTGTGGAAATAATGACTCTCAGGCAGAAGACAAGAAGGATGATCTAACTTTCATGGTTTAACTTCGACTTTTTATCATAATCTACAGTCTAAAGATGAGGACAAGCCCAAGTATGATGAAGACAACTTGGTGCATGTTATAAATGATCTTTTCCTCGGTGGATCAGAGACCTCAAGCACAACCTTGTACTGGGGACTGCTCTATATGGTAGTCTATCCAGATATCCAAGGTGAGAGAGATTCTTGCTGTGAAATACTGTGAGTATAACCAGTGTTAATGGTGGAATGTAAAGAGTTGAATGCACAAGAGCCATTAGATGAGCTTGGCTCTGACCCTCTGAGAACACTAAAGCCAACTTGCTAAAATTACAGCAGCAGAAGAAAACAGAGCCCTGTCCTCTGAGCTGAGCAAACCAGGTGGCTGAATGGTTCTCTTCCATTTCTGGCACAGCACAGTGCTAAGCACACCAATACTCCTAACATGCCACCAGATTGCTTGATCTCTTACTGGCCAAACTAGTTGGTCAAAACTTGGCAAGTTTTAAAGGGCTGCCAGCTTCCCTCAGGAAGTCTTGGGATTCTGATAGAGTCAGCTGCCTCTTCCTGTATCTTTCCCCTCAGGAAAAAGGTGGAGATGTGCAAGGTAATAGGTACAATGCAGAACCATACACCTCTTTGAAGAGCAGAGTGAATCCTTGTCCCTGCTGGGTGCTTCAGCAAAGCACACGTTGAGGCAGTGAGCATTCATGGAATATGGGTGGCCTCAAGATTTTAGTAAAGCCTATTCTATGTGTAACCAGCCAATGGTGTAATCATCTCATCTTTAAATAACCACTAATGCTTGTCACAGATTATTTAGGAGAAAACAAAGCATGAATGTGAAACATCTGCGAGAGACAGAAAGATTGCAAATGCAGAACAAAAAGTTTAAGGGGAGGAGTCTGGCTGCCTGATGTGTAGAGACATTTTCAAGCAAAAACGGCTGACAGTGCACACAGACTGCATCTGTTATACTGCAAAAGAGATTGCTCATCTAATTAACACCAATTCCATGAATGAATGTAGTTCCAGGCTGAGTCTCCTCCATCTTACACCTATGCTTGGAAGAGAAAGGCTATGGCCAGGGCTTAAAAGGACTTCTGGGGTCGGTGGTTCTTCCATCTGCTGTGCTCACGCACTGAAAGTGAGGGAGATACCCATATTCCCCCAACCTCTGCAGGAGGCAGAAAAGGCTGTCACTGTGTGCATATTTGCTCACATCTTTGCTCGAGGCTGGTTCTGGTGGAGTTTGTTCAGCGTTGCCATACTTGGACCAACTCTGCTTAACTCCTCTCATGCACTGAGAGTATCCAAGACGTTTATGTACGTTTTGAAAGAAAGATTTAGATTTTGAGATAAAGGAAACAAGCAATCCCTAAATGCCTTCAAAATCTGAAGCTGAGTGACATGGCCTACACTAACCAAGGATGCAGAGAGGGAAACATCAGAGCTGGGATAAGTACAGTGTGGTCCTTGCTTATGATTCTGGGCCACACAGTTTTTTTGTTGTTGTTTTGTTTTGTTTTTCTCTTGAGTTTTACTTTCATATATTAAATTGAGATATTGTATGTTAAAGACTTCATGTACTATGCTGAAATACTGAATTTTCCTATTTCTCTAAAAAAAAAAGAGAGCAATTGAAACTTTTGGTGCATTTTTCCCATCTCAAATGTTGAATATTTCTCCATAGAGAAAGTGCAGCAGGAGCTGGATGCTGTTCTGGATCCCTCTCAGACCATCTGCTATGAGCATCGGAAAAAGCTGCCCTATACGAATGCTGTGATTCATGAGATCCAGCGCTTCAGCAACATTGTCTTTGTTGGTCTGCCCAGGGTGTGTGTGAGGAACACAACATTGCTGGGTTACCCTGTCAAAAAGGTATGGATATTTCAATTTAATATCATCACTTCTGCCTATAAACTGTTCTTCACATAACCCAGGAGTATGGCCCCCGGGTTACTTGCTGTGGGTTATCACTAGAAATGTCATTAAAACTTGCAGTAGAAATGGTCACCATGATGCAGCTGTACCAAAATCAATACTATTAATTCCCACTGACATGGCTGCAGGGCTGGAACTGATAATTTACAATAGAAAATGACTAACAGCTCCCATTTTCTAGGAGGATAATCCCCTAACCAGATGATATCTGCTCATTGAAAAGAAATGGCAACAAGGCAGTAGTAACTGATAGGTGAAGTGAGTCAACAGAACTTTATCAGTAGTCTCTCCCTTGCAGGGCACCATCGTTATTCCAAACATAGCATCTGTTCTCTATGATCCCGAGCAATGGGAGACACCTCGACAGTTCAACCCTGGCCATTTCCTGGATAAAGAAGGGAGCTTTGTAAATAGAGAAGCCTTCTTACCATTCTCAGTAGGTAAGTACACCAGCAATTTGAGCGGCCCCAATAGATTAGATGAAGGATACAGAAGAGTGAGTATTGCTTCAGACAGCACCTCATACCTTCACTATTTGCTGCTTTTAAGGATGGCACTGACACATTATCTGCTGAGGGAGACAATTCTGTGCTGTCAGGCCCCAGAGTGCTCTTAGGACACTGCAGTGGGAATGCCACTTGAACACCTGAACTTCCTGGGTTTGTTGCATGTTGCAGTCATCCATTGGTGCTGATTTGTTTTTCCTCTATTATTCTTCATACGTGTTTTTTTTTTCCCTGATAAGCAATGTGTCTCCTTTGTGCTGGAATTGCTTGCAATCCTTTCTAAAGGAACAAGCTGAAAGAAAAGCAGAAATCCATCCTCATATACAAAGTTTCTAGTTACAGAACCAAAAATCCAGTTGCAAAATAAGGGAAGCAAGATAAAAGCACAGTTTGGGATCACATTCAGCAGTTAAGTTCTTACTCTGACAGTTTGGTTTTAGTATCTCTGCTGACATAGCAAGGTAGTCACTTAAATGCCTTTCTAGGAGTGGTTTCTTAGTGCAAATGGAATAGCTGGCTTTTGTTTTTCCTCTGTTTGTCTGCTAATCTGAAAATGTGAATGTATTGTTAACTTGTTTTCTTTAATTTGTATGGTTTCTGTGCCATTCCATACCACTGGTTCCAGGAAGGAACACTTGGCAATTAACAGTAGGCCTCTTGCTTTGCCTGCATATGACCAAGTTTTGTTCAGTTGCAAGTGCTGTTGCTAGGTAATTTTGACCCACTGACTTTAAGTCACTAAGAAAGCATGTACAATTTACTGGCAGATTCTTTGGGTCTGACCATGAAGCTCAAAATGTCCTATAAAATGAAAGTCATTTTCAGCCACACTGAGAAAGAAACAATGGTGATACCTCAGGGCTTTTCAAGTGATGCCTCCTGACACTGGAAGGGAACTTTTTGAGAAAGAATTCAGGAAGTTTAGTTCTGTAGCTTTCAGGAACCTGACCCTGAACAAGAGTCCCCACTGCTTATGGCAAGAATGAAAAAAATGATTGTCAACTAAGTTCCTAGATACTCACTGTCATCGCCCTCTTCCTCCTGCAGGGCACCGGGTGTGTTTGGGGGAGCATCTGGCAAGGACTGAGCTCTTCATTTTCTTTGCCAACCTGCTGCGGGCATTCACCTTCCGGCTCCCTGAGGGAGTGACGACGATCAACACTGAGCCCATTTTTGGGGGCACACTGCAGCCCCACCCATACAAGGTGTGTGCCATCCCACGCTAGGCTGCGGACATCACAGACCACTTTTACCTCAGTGAACTTCCTCTCAGATGTATAAACACTCTTTGATCAACCAGTATATCGACATCAGTCTATCGCAGCACTATTCAGAAAGTGGAGACAAGCCAACATCCAGACCACCAGTACTTCAGTGTGGTCCTTGTGAAGGTCCCAGGCATTATTGCAAGGATCTATTATTTTTTTTTTTTTTTTCCCTTTTGGAGAGCATCCAAAGAAAAACACTATGGCTCCCAGTTGTGAAGATTGCATTCTGTGCCCACCTGTCCTAGCCAAGTAGGATTGCCATGGTGCTCACTATTGAGCAAACGTCAGTGTGATTAAATAGAAGACCTCAGCAAGAGCTGAGCAGGTGTCATTTCTGTGAGCAGTCTGACCTCAAGGCATTTGACTCTGGAAAGTGCACATTTTAAGGCCTACTTTGGTTTTCCTATCATGACACACTTTAATTTGTTGGCAGGCTGGAAATAAAAGAAAATAAAATGGAAACACATTGGAATATGAGTGCATTAATGTCTGAGTTTGAGGTAAGCATCTCCCATGGATAAGACAAAAAGAGTCAATGTGAATTCAAGTGAACTTAAATTTCACAGTTACTAACAGTGTGAATGTGTAACTCAGCTGTGTAATCATTGTTATAATGTATTGCCAGTTTATTTTGTCATTTTTTAAAAATTTGTTTTTTATGATGTAGAATCATGCTGACTTTGTTTGGGTTACTACAAGATTGGGACCTTCAACTCTGTAATCAGACCTTCTGCTCATTGAATGAACACAGTAACTGGCAGTAGAAGAACTTTATCAACCCTGCTTGGAAGGGGCATAGATGTGGGGTGAGATATTCACTTTGCCAGTGGATTTCACAGCTAACTGTTCACAGCAGAGGAATACAGAGACTTTGGAAGACAACATCTGGAGACTTTCTGAGCACACAGATGTTTCCCATCTTTTCTGGGCCCTTCTCTTCATTATAACCCATACTGTACTTCCAGTCCTCCATTCAATCTTACTGCAATCTCTCCCTCTCAATTTTCAGTTCCTGCTCCCATCCACTCCTTATCCACATAAACTCTATTTCAGGATTCGCCTTCTCTTTTGGTTTCCCACCACTTACATCCTTTCATCAGACCAAGGTTCTGTCCCCTCTTACGCTTTTCTGCACAAGTATTATAGACACATCAGTGATGAGCTGAAAACCACAACCAGTGAGTTATAGGTGGCGTTTGGAAGATATCCTTTTTTTCTTTCCTGTGGTTCTACACCGTAAAAAGGACACTATAGTAACTAGAGAGGCACTGGAGGAAGCTCAGAGTAAGAAAATATAAATGAAGATTTGATGCAGGAGTTCTGAAAGATCTTTTTTCTAATGTAGTTACTTACAGGCACTGATCCCATTCACGACAGACAATTAAGCATACAGCTGGAGGTGACAGCCAAGTTCATCTGTAGCGATGACAAGCAAATTGCTGTAGTGCTCTTGAGTCCAAATCACTTTTGAAAAAGATTCAAATCTTGGAGTTCAGTAAAGTTATAATCCCTGCTATAAATTTAGGATTAAACTTCTATGAGGACCACAGGTGGTTTTATACTGGGGTACAAATTATTTGGAATTAAATCATTGCGGTACATATGAACTTCCTAAGTTTAAAATGGAGAATAATGTTACTAAAAAGAAGTGATAGCTACTGAAAATCATGCTGAGATGGACCAGATCCTGGCACTGCTCCACAACAACCCAGTATCAGCAGGCTGGAAAGGAAATCAGAATACTAATGGGTTTCACAATAGCAATATGAACAATCCAGCCTGCTGACTACATGCTATATCAATTACATCTCTTGCTGCCTTTGCCCCCTCTTCTTGTCATCTTGCTACTCACTGAAGAGGCTTAATGAGAAGACACGTTCTCATGGACTGGAACATTATGTCCTCTGAGACTTTCTGTCTTAGAGAACAGCTCTGCTTTCCCTCCCAGAGATCATTTTCCCTGTACAGGGTTGCAGACACCCAGCTCCTAGACTGGCTGAGAGATGTGCAGAACATGGGGACAGAGCTGAAGTCATTCCAAGTCAGGTGTTGGAGAGATAGGACAGCAATGAGCAGTGGGACTATGGAAGAAACCACTGCTTCCATGTTGTGCTGAGGGTTTTTAGCCATTAGTGTTATTTCCAGGCATTCCTGGTTACTACTGTCCTTTAGCACTCTGTTGGTGGCTCCATATGCCCCAGTACAGTGAGCCATGAGAGCTTTGTGCCTGGCTGTGCTTGGCACCAAAAAAAAGCCAATCTGAAGAAAACTGGGTTGGCTCCATTGGCTTCCGTCATCCCCTGCCCACAGCCCTTCCCATTTCCCTACTGCCTCTTCAAGTGCTGCATTATTTCCTGATCCCCTTGTCACCACTGCTTACAGACCCTAGGCACACATCTGCATTACACCATCAGAGATCTGCCAGGTAGGAAGGCATACACCCTGCTGCAGATGACTGGGGGTGATGTAACATTTAAGTGAAGTGACTAACCCTCCACCCCATCTATTTTTTAATATAATCAATGTCAACCACAGCCCCAAGTCTCTGAGTTGTGGTAGCTTTGTCATCCTTAATAATATGGTTTAGAAGAGTTTGAAACCAGTTTGCAGGCGTTTATTCAAGTGAAAGATCCCCAGCTGGATCTATTGCTTTTTAAGCCACTGCAATTCCTTTGGGAAAAAGCCAGATCATGTCACAGAACGTGGCATGAGGAGGTGGCTGCTCTGCTTAACATTTGCAGCACAGCGGGAGTCTGAAAGCAGAAGCCTACAGGATTTATATTGCTGGACATGAGAGGAGAGAGCTGCCCAACTTTATATGGTGCCTAGTACTGCAAAGGTTCCAGTTAAGGAAAACATTGCCAAGGTGTCTGATACTGACATCCTCTACTAATTTTTTTTTTCCCTTGTGTTTTTGTTTCATGGTGGGGTTTTCCAAGATAGCAATATTTCAGGCTAAATATTTGCAAAATTTTATTCTCAGAAAGAGTGGTGGTGCATTGGCACGGGCTGCCCGGGAGGAGGGGAGGGGGGTCACTGTCTCTGGATGTGACCCAGAAACATGGACATGTGGCACTGAGGGATGTGGTCTGGAGCAGTCACATACATGGGTTGATGCTCGGATTAGATGATCTTATTGGTCTTTCCAACCTTAATGATTCTATGATTAGCCTAACAACCACATGGCAGGTGGTGTGTCGAACTTCAGGGCAAATTATTTATCCTGGCAAAAGGAGAAAGCAGCAAGTAGAGACAAAGAGAACCTCGTATAAAAGTTTGGTAGAGTTTGCATCCCTCCGAAGATTAAAACCAAATGTCTTCTCTTCTGTTCAAACAAGTTGTTTAGGAAAATGGTGTGTGTCAAAGGCTCAGGCTATGCTGTCCCTGTTGATGCTCCTGTGTATGAAATTGTGAATTGATTGCTTGTAGTGGGGGAAATTGACACTGATGGGATTCCACTTTGAAAAAACCTTCTATTGTACAAGCATAGCACATTTGGGAAATTTTTTCTGTAGTTTTGAGGCCTAAAAAATTCTGTGTGCACAGGAGCCAACAGAAGAAGAAACATTCACCGTCTCTCCAATGGAAGATATCAAATGCAATGCAGATGGAGATTGCTTAAAAGAACCAGAAGGAGTGGCACAGCATGTCTTGTTGGTAAGTTATTTAACTCCTCACTGCTGAAGGTTCTGAACATTTGCTTCTGTTCAAATTTAATCGGATGAATTTTCAGCAGGAAAATTCCCTTTGGGCTGTTTCACACCAATGCAGTTCTTCTCATTTGTCCCGTTCTAACAACCTTTCCTAATGCCCATTGTGTGCTGTCAAAATGGAACACTGACTAGTGGAACTACCACCTGACACAGTATGGCTGTGCTTGTGCTTTCTGCCATTCACTCCACGTTAAAATGGTTCAATATATCATACTTCCATCTATTGCCATAATCTTCTATTTTCCATTTGAAAATCTTACTTTCAAGCAAAACCTTGACCACGTGCCTGCTGAAACATAGCTGAGACTGGAAAGAGATGGTCATTCAAGCAACTGGGAACCCTGAAAGGCACTTAATGTTATCCACTTCCCTCTGAGGAAAAGTCTTGCTGCTGGCTCTTTTCAAAGCTTAATTTATTCATTTGCTAGATGTCTTCGGGTGATAAAAATACATTGTGAATGGCAAATCAGATTTTCTTCGGTGAAATTTCTGGTCAAAACAAGAGATAATGTGCTGATTGAATCAGGGTTGCACACATTTCCTGTAATGCTTTGTTAAGAAGCCACGAATCATCAGATGTGAGATCTGCATTCAAGCTCATGCCGTCAGAGCAGCCTGAACTGGGAACTGAAGGTAACCCGAGATGAGGAAATTCCTCTCCATAAAATTAATATGCTATAAATGTCATTGTTTGCCCGCCTCTTCTTTCTACACTATGCCCATTCTTTTTTTACCATTGTGAAATATCACATTAATACCATTTGCAGCTGACTTAAATTTCAGGAAACAACCAGCTTCAGTGTCATTAAAGAACTAGCTAATGGAGAGCTAGAGATAGGTGAAGCATTAAAATATTTCAGTTTTCAACTTGGGAAAAATACAGTTAATATACCTGCAAAAATCACACTGAGCTCAAATGCGTGGTGGAGAGAGGTCTATAGCTGCATGTGCAGAAATGCACTGCGGAATAAAGCAAAGGCACCTGTTTGAGAGTATGACTGTGTAGTGAATGTTACTTCTGTGTGTCTGTAACAGCTCATACTATAGATCGTTCAGATCAGATAAGCCATATGACGTAGGGATTGGAGGACAAGAGATGGCAAATGTGGGGTCTGAAGAATGGCTCTGCCAGATTAACTCAAAGCACTGCAACCAACACAGCAAACCAAACGGTTGGAGATTTGGGTGCTATGATTTGTGACAGTGAGTCATTTTGTGAGATCAGATTTGTGGATCAAAACTGTACCTAAGGAGTATCAGTTCTTTAACCTTTTCCTGATGTAGAGTAAGTGAGCTTCATCTCATCCTTATGACCAAGAACACTGAGATGTCTCTCTAGATTTAAATCACACTGTTAGATGCTGTTCTCATTTATTAAGGTAAATTACACAACTGTGCCCTTTTTGCCT